TTAAAAAAGAGATAAAAATGTTAAATATTTTTATCTCCGATGTACAAGCTTGCCACCGAGGAGAAATGATTTAGCGGCATCTGACTGAACTTTGAGCAATGTATTCGACTTTTGACTGCTTATGTACACAGTTAGCGGGCCTCGCGCCGCTACAAAGTCACACGGGTCGGTGATGCCAGACTGTGCTTAAACACGGAAAAATTATAAAACTCTGCGATTTTCGTAACAGAGAATTTCAACTATGCAACGAGTTATCAACATCAATTCCCCCACCGAAATATTCACCCTTTAAGCTTCAGTTATCGAGAAATAAAAGAGCCTCAGGTTCAGGTGCTTACCTGGCAAGTTTAACTAGCGATAAGATAATATTCGTACTTTTTAAGCGAGGCAATGTGAATGACTTCATAAAGGGAGAGGGAGGAGTCAGCCGGATATAGGTCAGCGGTGGAGGGGGGGAAGGGGTGTTTCCTTTATTTTAAACATTTTTTTGTCCACAAAAATTTAATGCTAAAAGAGTTTATTGATGACCAGAGAAAGTATAGACAGTTCCACGCGGAAAAAGTTCTGAATGCGGTTTCCTCTTATAAAAATTGAAGTGTGATGGGGAATTTCTGGTATCTACAATGTAAAACATGTTTCATTTTAACGGTCAAGTTACTGAGACACACGAACTAGCAGATGCTAAAATAATAAGGGTAAGAGGCACACGGACTTGTGTATTACAACGAAAAAACAGAATTCAGGCGTCGTTATCTAGAAAATTATTTAATCTTTCCTTCGTCTGATTACTCGTTTTCCTCTTTTACATAATACGGGGTTTTTGCCTCCAGAAAATGATTCACCCTGTTTCGCTCAAAAAACGCTTCCAAAAGACGGGGGTGAGTAAGCTATTTACTCTTAGAAATATAAGGTCATCGTAATAAATCATGATCACTTTCCTGGATCATTAAGTCAAAAAAATTCCTCCTGTATGGTACGATGAATCTGGAGTCCAGTGTTTTATTTTTAGACCTTTTGGAGGAAATAGAAAATAAAACTTTACTTCCTCAAACTTTTAACACAACACCAGTGTTGCTTATAAATTATTTGCGGAGATGCAATTATTATTTCACCTCACTCATGAGTGACTTTTTAAGGAAGTCACGGGTAAAAAAGACCCTAGATCGATAATTTTCTAGGGCAAACTATTCAACGCCTTAGCTAATTCATAAACCATCACTTGGCGAAGATAATTGTTGCTGTCATGAGATAGTTTTAGATCCCCGGAAGAAACTTTTGCCTCCCTCGTTTAAAATGATATTCTAAGTGCATAAGTGCTGCGGGATTTTCGAATTGTAATTTTCCTTTGTTACGAACAATAAAAATAGATTTGCGCGGTTTCAAGTGACGACACAGACTCGTAAAATTGCTAGAAACGCCAAGTCACACTAAAGGACATCCGGAAGGGTGGTGTTTTAAACTCTTTTCCCTACACCGCGAAGAGATGATATTATCTAGTCAATTCATCAAACGTTTCAATGGGAATTTTATAGAATCTGCAGTGTGAAGGTGGATGGATGAGTTTCCATAAACTCGTGCAGAAGTAAACATTTTTCACTAAGACAACTGATCTTCCGCGGTTGTGTTAAGATTGGCCCACTACGGAAACGGCCGGTTGTTGCATAAATTAATTCAAAACTTGCTTGTTTAAGTGGCTCATAGGAAAATCCAAAATATTCTACTTTCCTTCCTGTCTTCTACTGTGACACATTCTGTATTACACGCACTTAAAATAATTTTCATCAGAGGCGAATGTTGCGGCAACTCTTAAAAATAAACTTACTATACTACAAATTCATACCAATCATCTTTTCCTATTAGCTTTTCATTTTTTGTAAGCCTTGTAGAGCGAGGAGCCAGTAATTTGAATCATTTACACTCTCTGAAAAAATTATTGAAACCATTTAACTGTTTTGTTGCGAGCAGTCGTCATTAAGAACATGCAGTCATTTTTAACGAGCAAATAAGCTCTGGGAGATGTGGGAAATGAAACCGCTACGATATGAATGGGAATGGATGTCACGATTGTTACGGCATACTGATTGAGCTTGTCAAGGGTCTCAGAGTAGAGGGTGAATTTACGTTGAAAGCAACGCCTGCAAGGATGCAACTATTCCTGCTTGATGACTGTCCGTGTTGCTTATGCGCGGAGTTGAAGGCGCGAACTTCAAAGCGACGCTCTTTTTCAAAGTCGACGCTTACTCAAAGGATGCTCCCGGTACTAAATGACGGATCGGCCTTTAAAGCGTGGAAATTATGAATTGGCAAAGTTACAAAAATCCGAGGTACGAATCCGTAAATTTTTTGGGAAGTTTTATATGTTTTCATACGCGTGGGGGGAAAAAACTTAACTACCATTGACATTTCTCAAAAACCTCTTGTTAATGATCATTAAATTGTTTTTTCTGTACTTTTTAAAGGATGCATGAAGAATTTTGTTCAAAAATTATGAAAATTAAGATCAACGATTTCAACCCCAGAGTAAACGAGTTTCTATGATTAACGTCAATTTCGACAAACAAGCCAACAGGACAGTGAGGAACCATTAAATCTACATGAAGAAAAAAAATTTATGCTCTCAATGCTCATGGTGGACTACAATTGGACCGCGTTTAACAGAAAGAAACCAAGCCTCATCAGCTATTGCCAATTTTAATTGGGCAATTATTTCATTTTTTACGAGAAAACGTTTGTGCGGGTCCCTTTGAAAATGTGAAGGAATTTGCTTCGTACTGTGGAGAAAATTCACTGTTTGCACGAAAATCCTCACAACCGTTTTCATGTAAAACATTAAATTAGCCAATTAAATTTGGCAATAGCTGATGTGGCTTGGTTCTTTTCTGTTTAACGCTGTTCAATTCCTACTTACCTCTCTAAATGTAGTTACAATATTGATCTTGTGGTAGCAATTCATTCCGTCCCAGTACATGCCGTTCCGGCCGTATCGATATCGTAGTGGAACCGAAAAAATCTATTACCTTAATAATAACATTGTAACTACAGCTAGAAAAGCAGGTGGGGTCTGCTATGATCATTGTAAGAAGAGCGATTTTTTCCTCCCATGTGAATACTGCGTGATGGGCTTGGTAATATAATGCTACTTGCGTTGAGGAAATATCTTCTGAACTTGAGAAATCACGCAGCAATCCAGTCACGTTGATATGGCAAGCTAATACGCGGCAAAACAAGTACTTAGTACTTACTTAAGTTTCAGATATTATATTTAGAAAAATCGAGTATTCTTCTAAAAATAGTACAGAGTCGTAAAATGAGCAGATGCAGATGCATGAGCAGAATGCAGATTCCAGAGTGAAACACGACAAACGGCCGAATTGGAGGATCGTGTTCTGTGGGTCAACATAGGACATTTTTCCACAATGAAGTTTTATTTCGTAAAAATGTCCTTGATCAGAACCACGGCTTGCCCCCACCCCCTAATTTTTCGGGAAAATCATAATTTTTTCCGAATTTCGCCGGCAATACCATTCGCATGGCTAATCCCCATTAATTTTCGCAATGAAGTCATTAATGACTTTAAACATATTTCAAAATATCAAGTAAAAGGGAGCTTTTTGGAGGTTTCGGGGGGTGGCGTTGACTTTCGCTCAACTTTGGACCAAATTTCCTTGCTTCGAAATCAAAATATGGATAAGGCATTCAGTAGCTGGTTAGCGGATGACAAGCCTTAAAAGTGACCAGAGAGGATCAACAGTTGGAAAATGAGTTAAAAAGTTTAGGGATTAGTAGATGTGCACGGTGGCAAACAAAATTTCATTTTATTATTCCCTGACTTTTTCCCGACTTCTGATGAAATTTTCTGACTTTTTAACAACTCTTGAAGAGCACCACCCGGTTGGCACGTTGACACAACAACGCGATCCGCTGACCCGTCGCCGACCCAACTTTTACGTGGAGCCTAGCACCACGAAAAACTCCCGGACCGTTGACGAAAATCCCTGACTGAAACCTGATTTTTTCCGGTCGAGTCGCAAACCCTGAGTTTCGCCGGTTTCCCGGTCGGTAACCACCCCGAATGTGTCAAGAAATTCCCTGAATTTTCCGGGAATCACCTGACTTTCCCCGGTTTTTCCGGTCGCTAACCACCCTGAAAGTGTCAGCAATGGAGATGTTGCATGTGTGAGGAATTTGCGATTTGACCAATGATACTTATGTAAAAGTTCGCGAAAAACACGATGGTGTCACTGGTTTTCTCTGAAATCAACTCCCAAGCTCAAAAAAAGCTCTCAAGTTGAGGCCAAAATGGAGGGGATATCCCACGCCATCCTGAGAGTCCACGTCTACATCAAGACAAACTCTCCGTGCAAAGATAGGGAGCAAATACGTTGACAGGGCTGCCACTTTAATTAGGGACTCCAAAACTGAAAACACGGTAACCCTGCTAATGTATTTGCTCCCTATCTTTGCTTGGAGAGTTTGTCTTGATGTAGACGTGGACTCATAGGATAACGTGGGATATCCCCTCCATTTTGACCTCAACTCGAGAGCTGTTTTTGAGCTTGGGAGATGATTTCAGAGAAAACCAGTGGCACCATCGTGTTACTCGCAAACTTTTACATGAGAATCAATAGTCAAATCGCAAATTCCTCACATATGCAACATCTCCATTCCCTGAGTTTTCCCTGGAATCGCAAGTGATTACAGGGAAAGTCAGGCCTGATTTCCCAGGTTTTCAAAAGCGCTAGCAACCCTGGCGACAATATGTAGGGGAAAGAGAACTCACGGCCAAGAGTTGGATCGTCTCCGGAATTCCCTGAATTTTTCCGGGAATCACCTGACTTTCCCCGGTTTTTCCGGTCGCTAACCACCCCGAAAGTTTCAGCAATTCCCTGAGTTTTCCCGCGGGAATCACAGGTGATCACAGGGAAAGTCAGGCCTGATGTCCCCGGTTTTCAAAACGACTAGCAACCCCGGCGACAATATATAGAAGAAAGAGAACTCACGGCCAAGAGTTGGATCGTCTCCGGAAGCAGGAGTACTCCTGGTCGGGGTCGCCGAAGACCTGGGCCTCGGCGGTGATGTCCGGGCTGGCGGTGGCCGAGCTGTCGAGGCTGTTGCAGAACACGCCCGAGTCGGAGTCCGAGTCGCGGTAGGTCCGCCGGAGGTTCATCGCCGCCGTCCAGGCCTCCTTCATCTGCCACTTGGAGGCCGTCGAGGAGCAGTGCGACCCGGAGCCCAGGCGCACGAACGAGCTGTGCTGGCGGAACAGCTCCGGCAGCTCCGACTCGGCGCCCACCTGCACCGGCGAGTTGCAGAACAGCGACTCCAGCTGACCGCTCATGTACTCCTCCATCGAGGGCTCCGTCCTCCTCGACATCGGGGACATCGACTGGTACATGGAGCTGTGCACGGAGTGGCTGTCTCGGTGGTACGGGAACATCACTGTCACGGGATCGACTCGACTGTCTCAACTGTCTGCCGCGCTCAAGAGCTATACATTCACCAACTCTACAATCCGCTTATCACGGTGGGACGAGACGATTGAAAACCGGAGTGGGATAACACTTATGAAACGGGTGAAACTTCGAGAAGAAAAGGAGATACGGGGAAAATGTGTCGGATGTGTGGTATCCGCAGAGATCGAAGGGGCACTGAGTTGTAGCTGCGGGTCGCGGGCTGCCGCTCGGCACTCGGCGGTGAAACTGAAACTGAAGTCGGGTTCGCGCAAGGCTTCGCTTCGGCGAGACACTATCGCGGCGCGGGGCCAAAGTCACACTTTAAAAAGCCGTATCGAAGGGCACCTGTGATAAAGCTCTTATCGGATGATATGGGAAGGTCGGGGTGGATGGAACTTGGAGGGGCTGCCCCCTCCCCACTCCGCCGGTCTTATCGAAGCTCTCGAAGAGGCCGATATCCGCCGGGCTGGGTCGATCGTCGGGGCAACCGGTAAACAAAGCAGCATGGCTTTTCGGCCGCTCGATTTTCGCCCGAGCCGGTATGAACCGCTTTACTGCGAGGTTTACACTCATTGTCGGTTTCCACCCTTCCACGTGGTAAAAAAAACCTCTTGGTTCAAGAGTGCAGTTTCTTGTCACCGGATTTAAGAGTCTGGACTCTTGTTTCAATGCAAAATCCGCTTGAAACAAGAGTTCAAGACTCTTCCGGCGACAAGAAACTGCACTCTTAAGTCGGAATGCGGCATTGGTCCAAGAGGTTTTTTTTACCAGTGATATTATGACTACCGAAACGTGAAGATTTCGATGGGCTGTAAACGTATTTCAATGTGAAATTCTTGCTTTTTCATACAGATAACAAGCATGAGACTCGATTCTTCGACTCTAAAGATATATCATCCAGAGGATGTTGTTTTCATATACGAGGAGTAAAAAACCGAAGTCGTAGGAACCCGTGGTAGCCTCTGATTGGTGCCAGATCACATCAATCCGTTCGGCGCGAAACCGGGGAATTTCGAAATTGCGGGAAGAATTCGTTTTTTGAATTGCGTATTTCTCGATCTCTGAAGTTACTTTTTTGCGTTTTTAACATGCTAATCGTGTTCTACGCCGCATTTATCTTCAGACAATGTGTTCACAAGTCAAAATTTGTTTATAGAGAGTAGAATTTTAAACAAATTTTTCTCGAAATTGCGTACTTCGAACTGTAGAAACTTGAAACCGCCATACTCAGCTTTGGTTTGAATTTTTAAGGCATTTTTGGTCAGAAAATCTCATTGAAATACCTTCCAACATATCTTCTAGTTTTAAAACTCGATTTTGAGTTTTTGTGGTCTCCAGTCGGGCCGCATTTACCTACATGCCGCCCATGGGCCGCCTGTATTTTTCAGCTCCCTCCTCATTTGTTTTGAAACATCAATAGATCATATTCGACACAAACAAAAATTTTAGGATTTAATTTGGGAAAGCTGAAAATGAGAAAATTCCTAAAAATTTGACTTTTTTTGGAACTCAAGAGAATAAAATTAACGAAAAACTATGAAAGAACAAACATAAATGTGGTTAAAAATTTTAACTTCCACCGCCGCGCCGATCGCACTGTGTTGGCGCAATGCGTGAGGTATTCATGCAGTCTTGTAGGCACCATGCGTTTCACGCCGACCGCTGCGCTGCTAACCAAGTGACGGTTTGGCGCAATGCGTGAAGTATTCATGTAGTCTTGTAGGCGCTATGCGTTTCGAGCCGACTGCTGCTGACCGCAGTGTGTTTGACGCAATGCGTAAGGTATTCATGCAGTCTTGTAGGCGCTATGTGTTTCATGCCGACCGCCGCGACGCTTCTTTCCAGGTCAAATTGCGCGTTTGGTTTCTCTCTTAACTTGACTAATTAAAGGTGTTGTATCTTGTATCACCGAAAGACGACAAAATTAGAAATTACTATACTTTTACTCTCAGAAAATGAGAGATTTTGTCGCCTTTTCTCGTTTGTAATTTACTTTCTGAATCCGATTGTTTTCTCTCATTTATTGATACCTACATTCAAAAAGATTGCAAAATTTGCCACCCCCTTGATCCGGCCCTGGTCTACGGTCCCTTTTCCTCAGGACGGTCGCATTTCAATACTATCTGACATTACTACTTTCAGCTGCGGGCTGATTATTGAAATTGATAGACAAAGCTATAAACAAAGAAGACATAGGGAGTATGGAGCAATCCTGTTGGTTGAAATAGGTGGCTCGTATAGGCTCCAGGAAAACATGATGGACTAACTACTGGGTCTCTTGCGGGTGTTTCCGTTAGTTAGTCTATTACTCACCTCTGTATCTGTTGTCTATAGTAGCCACCCGCTTCCACCAATAGGATGACTATACTCTCAGTTTGTTTTCTTTGTCTATCAATTTCAATAATCAGCCCGCTGATAAATCTATGAGTTTCAATGGTCAAAACATGATAACTCTCTGACGGGTGCCACTGACCTATTATTAAAGGTAAACAAACCTGCGGCCGCCCGAAAATGTAACTTAACTACCCACAAAAATTCTGGTTTATTTCTGTTATCACAGGAAATACAGAAAAAAAATTCCTAACATTTTTCGACTGAGAATGATTTACCAATATCTTCCAAAATAATCACGGCCCACCGAAACATGCGGTTTGAGCGTGGTGGTTTGAGGATAGATCTGCCAACCCTGGGTGTAGTACACTAACCTCTAAATCTGAACGAAAATAACAAACAATTTCGTTATATCATTCTCGTATCGTTGCGATGCATCGCAGTCGGACGCGCCGCCGTGGAGCGCGCATGCGTAGAGCGCGTGGCCTCATCGTCGCGGTGGGAAACATCTCTTGTTATTGAATGGATCTGTGGACACAACCACTCCGATGCGACGAAGCCAAATAGCACTTACAAGCAGGCATTCTAGTAAGTGCAGTTGCACGAACAAGTGCAAGTGGGCTCATCCAGCGAGAACTTCTTTCTGGAGAGGGGGGGGGGGGGGGGGCCGGCATTTGACGGTGTTAATTGTCATCGTATAAATCGAGGAGTGAAATTCGGTGCAGGAGTCGGTATGAGTCGGTATAGCGCCCAAACGCCCCGAGTGAAATGAATTCGAAGTGAAATTGGCCCGCGTTTAACAGAAAGGAACCAAGCCACATCAGCTATTGCCAATTTTAACTGGGCAATTTAATTTTTTACGAGAAAACTTTTGTGCGGATCTCTTTGAAAATGTTAAGGAATTTGCTTCGTACTATGGAGAAAATTCCCCGAAATTTGCACGAAAATCCGCACAACCGTTATCATGTAAAAAATTAAATTAGCCGATTAAATTTAGCAATAGCTGATGTGGCTTGGTTCCTTTCTGTTCAACGCGGTCCAATTAGCACCAAAAAACGTTTTCAACAGAGTAAGCGGGGTCTGAAAGCACCATGAAAGTACCAGAGAGCTGACTTCTTTTCATACTTAAAATTCCTGTCCTAGACTTGATTCGTCAGTTTAACACTGGTGTTATCAGTAGGAGACTACCAATTGCTCGTAAATATTTAAATTTTGGGCGGATTAGGCACAATTCATTTACAGACATTCGATTAGAGATGGCGGAGTTGGTTGTCTGTAGATTCAAATTTTGGATAAGACAGTAGAGCTTCCAGAAGTGAATCTAAGGACGAGGGCATTCCGGCATTATCTTACCTAAAATTCTGTTAGTTTTCCATGATCCCCCAAAATATGACCATCTCCCCTCCTCTGAAGATCTTATTCTTAAATTTCGGGAAAGACAGAAGAGCTTTCAGAAGTGAATCTGAGGACGAGGGCACTATTTTACCTTAAATTTTGTACGTTTTCCATGAGCCCCCAAAACATGGCCATCTCCTTTGAAATAATACTTTACTCTCAAATTTTGGAAAAAAACAATAGAGCTTCTAGGAGTGAATTTAAGGACGAGGGCGTTAGTATCTAAAATTCTGTACGTTTTCTATTTCCATGATCCCCCAAAATATGACCATTTCTTCTCCTTTGAAAAAAGAAGTTATTCTCTCGAGTACACACAAATCTTCTCAATTCTTGCACTGTCCGGCAACTCACACCTTCGTCCGATCTTCCTTCCATTCAAGCGCCACTGTTTTGCGCGTCATCGGCCCTATCAAATTAATTCGCCGCGAATTTTCCGTCCAACAAAAAAAAGTAAAGGGAGCACGACTCTACCGAGTGATATGGGGGCTCGTCTGGTCAACACTGTTCGGGAGGAAAATAAAAAGTTGATAAAGGAAAATCATTTTCTCGTATTTTTCTATTTTCCTTGTTTTTACTTTTCTTCTTTTTCTATTTATTATTCTTCTAATTTCGTAATTTAATGGGGAAGTCTATAAATATTTGGCAACAACTAACGTTGTCAGTCTTTCGATATTTAAAGGCAATAATTCAAAAGGTGTTAAGGCAAGTGACCAACAACAAAGAATGCACAGAAGTGAGCTCTGATGAGAAGTACAACTCGTGAGAGTTATACGTGTATTTAGCGCGAAAATCACAACAGCAATGATCACATAAGTTTAATCAAAACTCAAAATCATAAGTTGACTTTAAAAAAGTCATTTAGTAGATTTCAAGTTATCACGGAAAACAGAGCAAGGGGTTGCTCGACTATATGGGAATTTCCAATTGATTATGGTAGTACCCCACTGAATTGTGGTAGAATCCCAATTAATTATTGTGGTAGTACCTCAATAAATTAGGTTACGAACCCAAATTTTGCGGTACTATCCCAACTTATATTGCGGCACAAAACCACAATTAATTGGAAATGTTCAACTCACATTCAACAAAATGGGGGTACTACCAGAATTTTAGGAAACTAAGAAAGTATTCTGCAATTTTTGGGAGTAAATCAGGGCAGTCTTAAATCGTATCTTACAGTTTTGTCAAACACTAAGGTGAAAACTTGGTGATTCTACACTACAAAATTCCATAATTAAGACATTTCCAAATTAGATTAATTTTTTCAGGATTTTCCAGGCGTGGAAAAAATTCTTAGATAATTCGTCGCATTCCCGGTTTTTCAAGTTGCTAGATAGATACCCTACTTCATTACACGGGAAAATATGAGGCCACTTTTAACCGATGATGAATTAAATCTGATTCGTCGAACCAGTTTGGCTCGACCAATATTTGACCATCTGGATTGAACCTTGCCATCGAATCACGCTTCTATTTAAAAATTTACGCCTTTGCGAGGTGACAAATTTTCTTGCATTTCAAAATTCCCGCCTGATTTTTCAGGGATTTTGAACATGGAGTTCCC